ATTAGAATAAAAAGGACCCTTTGCTCATATCTCAATCTGAGAGAAGCTGAGTCCTCCTGCAATTGGAAAGGCTAAAATCATCCTTAAGGTGGCTCTGTACTTCTTCCCATAAACTTGTGTGAACATCCATACCGACACCAAATAGACACCACTGGGTTCATCCTTGTGGGTTCCTAGGAATCTCCCTAGCACCAGGTTTCTCCCATAATGGCCTCCTCTATCAAGATATCTGTTTTGTTACTCTCCTCCTCTGCCCTGACCTCAACTAGACCATCCCTATCCCTCATTCACAGCCCCCATCCCCTCTTCCTCTCCCCCTCTACCCCTACTCCCAGTGTACCCAGGACATCTCATCTATTTTCTCTTCCCAGGGAGATTCATGTGGTCCTCTTAGGGTTCTTCTTGTTACCTAGTTTCTCTGGGACAGAGGATTGTGGCCTGGTTATCCTATGTTTTACATCTAATATTCACTTATGAGTGAGTATATACCATATTTGTTCTTTTTTTGGGTCTAGGTTACCTCACTCAGGATCTAGTTCTATCCCATTGCCTATAAATTTCATGATGTCACTGCTTTTTTCCACTGACTAATACTAATATTCCATTGTGTTAATGTATCACATTTTCTTTTTCTATTCTTCAGTAGATGTGATCTAAGTTTTTTCCAGGTTCTGGCTATTACAAATAAAGCTCCTATGACCATATCTGAGCAAATGTCCTTGTGATTTGATTGAGCATCCTTTGGGTATACACCCAAGAGTGGTATGCTGGGTCTTAATTGATTTTCAATTTTCTGAGAAATCACCATAATGATTTCCAAAATGGCTGTACAAGTTTGCACTCCCACCAGCAGCGAAGAGTTTCCCTTACTCCACATCTTCTCTAACATAGGCTGTCATTAGTGATTTTAATCTTAGCCATTCTGATAGGTGTAACATGGTATCTCAGAGTCATTTTAATTTGCATTTCCCTAATAACTAATGATGTCAAACAATTCTTTAAGTGTATCTTTCCCATTTGAGATTCTTCTGTTGAAAATTTCTGTTTAAATCTGCACCCCATTTTAAATGGGATTATTTGGTATTTTGATGTGTATTTTCTTGAGTTCTTTATATATTTTGGAGATCAGTCTTATGTCAGATGTTGGATTGGTGAATTTTCCCATTCTGTAGGCTGTTGTTTTGTCTTATTCACCATGTCCTTTGCATTAGAGAAGCTTCTCAGTTTCAGGAGGTCTCATGTAATAATTGTCTATCTCAGGGTCTGTGCTACTGGTGTTCTATTCAGGAAGTGGTCTCCTGTGCCAATGCATTCAAAGCTATTTCCTACTTTCTCTTCTATCAAGTTCAGTGTAACTGGATTTATGTTGAAGTCTTTGATCCACTTGGACTTGAGTTTTGTGCATGGCAAGAGACATGTATCTATTTGTATTTTTCTACATATTGACATTCAGTTATACCAGCACTATGTTTTAAAGATGTTTTCTTTTTTTCATTCTACAGTTTTGGCTTCTTTGTCAAAATTCAGGTGTTCATAGGTGTGTAGATTAATATTAGGATCTTCAACTTGATCCACTGGTCCACATGTCTGTTTTTATGCTAAAACCAAGCTGTTTTTATTACTGTAACTCTATAGAGCTTGAAGTCAGGGATGGTGATGCCTCCAGAAGTACCTTTATTATAAAGGATTATTTTACCTTGAAGAAGTTAAACTTTTGCTCTTTGCAAATGATATGACACCATAAGAGACCACAAAAATTCTACCAGTGAATGTCTACAGTTGATAAACATCTTCGGTAATGTGGCAGGATACATAACTAACTCAAAAAAATCAGTAGTTCTCCTATATACGAATGATAAATGGACTGAGAAAGAAATCAGAGAAGCATCACTGTTTATGTTAGGAACCAATAATATAAATTTATCTTGGTGTAAATCTAACTAAGCAAGTGAAAGACCTGTTTGACAAGAAGTTTAAGTCTTAGAAGAAAGAAATTTAAGAAGATAATCAGAAAATGGAAATATCTCCCACACTCTTAGATAGTTTGGGTCAACATAATAAGAATGATAATCTTACCAAAAGCAATCTACAGATTCAATACAATTCCCATTAAAATCCCAACACAATTCTTCACAGGCCTCAAAAGACCAATACTGAACATCATATGGAAGAAACAAAAAAAAACCCAGGACAGCTAAAACAATCCTGTACAATAAAGGATGACCATTTTCAATATATTAATCCTACTGATTCATGAACATGGGGCAATCTTTCCACCTTCTGATAACTTCTTAAATTTCTTCTCAATGATTGATGATTTTGATGATATTTTGCCCTTTGGGAATTATTTCTTCCTTTTGTTCTAAGTCACTATCAATCTTTTTATGTAAGCAGTTAGTGCCATGAATTTTCCTCTTAGGACCACCTTCATTGTGTTCATTTTTTGGACATGTTATGTATTCATATTTATTTAAATTTGAAAAGATTTTAATATATTTTTGATGTCTGTCTTGACCCAATTTCATTCAGTAGTAAGTTGTTCCATTTCCATGGATTTATAAGATTTCTGTTGTTGTTAATATTTAGCATCAATCTGTGATGGCCAGAAAGAATAGAGGGTGTTATTTCAAATTTTGCATATTTGTTGAGACTTACATTATGTCTACGTATATAGTTGATTTTGGCGAAAGTTCCATGAGGGCTAAAAGAAGATAGCAGAGAACAATAACCGTAGATTATATCTTGAGCACATAGCCAAAAATCAGGAACACTGCAAACATGCAGAGTTTCCTTTAATTTTGATTGTAATATGGAATTAAACTGTATGGCTATCTGTATATATCAATTTCTACTTATATTTTCATTCAATTCGACTTGGGGAGATTAAATGCATCTTTTAGGAAAGTATCCATCTGTTCATTCAATTCTGCTTTTAACAAACATCCAAAAATCTTCAAATCTCAATTATCAGACAGACAAGTATTCAGTAAAACTCCAGAGAACATCAAAAGAACGTGGCCATACAAATATGCTTTTATCTTTTTGTGTGATATATCAAAATAGAAAAAAAGTTTCTGATCACATATATGTTTTCTGTATTTTATAGGAATGTATATTTTCTCTAATTGCTCAGCCAAAGCCACTGCGTTGTTTTCTTAATTTTGTCCCATCTGCTTTGTAGTCATCTGCACAGCTGTGCTAGTCAGAGTAATGGTGAAGTCCACACAGCAGCCTCCTCCTGTCCACTCAAACCCTGTGGCCATTTCATTCTGGGTGCACGGGGCATCTGGTTCTTGGTTTGAGCAACTCTCATACTTTTTCTAAAGCTATAGGTTGAGATACTGATGGCCGGCTGAAGTATCTTTGACACCTCTCTTTCCTGTTAGTTAATTTTTTTATTTATTAAAAATTTCCACATCCTCCCCATCTCACATTTCCCTCCCACTTCCCCCACTTCTCCTCCCCCTCCCTCTCCAGTCCTAAGAGCAGTCAGGGTTCCCAATGGAATTAAAACAAAGACCCAGATATTAATCCACAAACCTATGAACACCTGATTTTTGACAAAGGAGCTAAAGTTATACAATGGAAGAAAGAAATCATCTTTAACAAATGCTGCTGGCATCACTGGATGTCAACCTCTAGAAGAATGAAAATAGATCCATATCTATCACCATCCACAAAACTCAAGCCCAAATGGATTAAAGACTTCAGTATTAATCTGACCACACTGAACCTGAAAGAAGAGAAAGTGGGAAGTAGTCTCCAACACATGGGCACAGGAGACCTCTTTCTACGTAGAATCCCGGTAGTACAGACAATAAGAGTAACAATGAATAAATGGAACCTCCTGAAACGGAGAAGCTTCTGTAAAGCAAAGGACACTGTCATTAAGACAAAAAGGCAACCTACTGATTGGGAGAAGATCTTCACCAACCCCGCATCAGACAAAGGTCTGATTTCCAAAATATATAAAGAACTCAAGAAACTAGACATTAAAACTCTAATTAATCCAATTAAAAAATGGGGTCCTGCTAGTTATTTTATCCTTTCTGAAGACGCTCCTGTCTGTCATAGGTTGAGGTTCAGGCAATGCAGCCACAGACAGGCAGGTACGCGTTGCTGGATTCTTCGGGTGTACTGTCAGCAGTGTCTTCACACGCTTAGGCTAGCACATGCTCTCCATCCACATACAGAATCTGAGGTAAGACTGTAGGGTCTACTGTGTGTCATCAATGGGTTCATCCTATGACAGCTCTGTTGTTTCTGAAGTACTCAATTATACAAAACAGAGAACATTCCATGAGCCTTGTGAGTGTCAGATGAGCTACATTCTCTATGAAACAGCTTCGGTCAGGGGTCTGGTTAGTCTTCAGAACTATGTTTCTTTTTCTGGGATGCTTAACACACTGGTCGAGCTAGCTTATTTCTCTATTCTGTGAGTCAGGCTGAGGCTTCAGGGAAGGGCTAGCCACTGCTCCTGGAAGGAAAGGGTGGAGCCACAGGCTACTCTTCTCTTACACCACTAGACTCCTTTATAAATAGCTCTTAGGAGACCCTGCACATCACAACCCTGGTTTCCACCTGTGAACAGGAGCTACAGCACTTCAGGTGGGAGCGGAGACAAGGTACACAGGCCCTGATCCTATCAAATCATGCTCCAAAATCATTCTCATTGCTTTGCTCTGGTTACCTGGCTCTTCTTTCTCTAGATTTTTTTTTAGAGTTTTTGTTTTTTAAGAGAATAAAATGGTTATCTTCTCTCTCTTCCCTACAAGCTCTCTCATGTACTTTTTCTGATATAACACTTCTGATTCTTCTTTAAACTCTGACCTCTCCTTTACATTAATTGTTGCTACTTGCACATATACATATACATAAATATTCCTGACTATAACTTAGTCAGTATGCATAGTATTACTTGTGTGTATGTTTTCAGGGCTGACCATTTGGTATTGGACAAGTCCTTGTTCACCTGATCAGTGCTGTCTTTCTGCTTGAGAATGGCCTCAGCTGCTCTATCACCTGATCCCAGTTTGGATGCTGAATGGGAGGAGTGGAAGATGAATTATGAAAAAACCTACAGCCTGGTTGGTAACATGGGCACTGTCCAGAGGGATTTCAGAAAGAATGGCCCCTGCTGTTAAGAGTCTATAGATATAAACATGGCCACAGAGGCCAGCCATCTCTCAGGACTTGCTAAAGACATTCACTATAAACTCAAAGTGGTCGGCTTTGCTCATTCTCTGGGTGTGGAGGATGACTGGCTGTTGTGTCCTGAGATCCCTCTCCATGCCTTCTCTTGACTTGTCTGAAGGAAACACTGTCTTTTCCATGTATCAGGATGAGGAAAAATACAGAAGGACATTGTGGGAGGAGGAGAAGAAGAAGATTGATGAACACAATGCAGAATATGGGCAGGACCAGACCGGCGTCTATGCAAGCCTGAATGAATTTAGTGACATGGTGACTGAGCTATGGATTGTTAACTGTTTCTTCTCTGTACATCTTTCCAGTATCTGTTGGTTTTCAATGTTTTATTTGCTTTTTCATGAAGACCTATGAAGAATTCAGGAAAGTTTGCTGTGGAAACTTAATGTGGACAGAAGAAGACCTGGATTGTGATAATCATGAATATAAGGATTTGACAAAGAACAACAATGTAACACTTGAGAAGGATCAGGTATGACTCTGTCACAGTTCTACCCTCAAGTACCCACAGGGAAGCTGAGAAGGAACTGAACTTCTCACTTCTACCAGCTGCAAAACGGCATACAGTTCACTGTTTGACTAAGCATTCTGCTCTGTGGACTGTACCTACAGTTGATAATTTGGTTATAGGTGACAACCAATTCTTCTTTCTCAGGGTACCTGTACTACTTGTTCAGTTTTAAACATGGTTGGTTCCCTTGTCAAAAATGTGTTACAGGGGAGGTAATGACAAAACGACCTTGGTGCATTCTTTCTAAATAATGCAACAAGTGTGTTTCTTCCAGCCCGAGTAACAGTTCTGGCAGAAATGGCAACATTATTTTAACCTCGGGATAAAACAATCTATGTGCCATTGCCTCAGGAGCCCTCTGCTTCAAGAAGTGACCTGTGTGATGGTAACAAGGCTGAACAAGGGGAAAAATAGAAGACGAAACAGCAGGGGGCCTCTCCTTTATGGAGGCTAGCCTGTGATGTGTGGATTCCAACTCTGAAACCATTTAAGATACACACTGTGATATGAAATCTAAAACATGATTACTCTACAAACACTACAATACAAACCCTACAATACTTTAATCTGTGCTCTCACTTACTTTATATTATTGATTCTCACAAAATTTTTATTTTTTAACAAAAAGAATATAAACCACAATGTCTTAAAATTAAACGTTGACTTTAAATGTAATATTATGCTTTCTTTCTGGTTTTGTTTCAATAAGATTTTTCATCATTAAAACCTCCTCCTTGAAGGTATAACTGGCTATTAGGGTGGCTAACAGGAGTGGAGAGTTCTCTCATTACAGAGTCAATTTCCCATCCCTGGTGGAGCTCCGTTTTCATGGTTTCAGGTGCCCACTTTCAGCGATGATCTGAAAGTCGACAAGGGATTTTTCTGGGGTTCCAACTTGCTAATTTCCACTAGATAACCAAGTATAATTGGTGATTGGAAAGCATCCAGTGCAGAGAAAGCACCTTCGGCCCCACTGGCCTGAGGCCATGTCATGAACCTCATTTTATATGAACATAACAGTGACTTGTAGCATGAATAATAAGAACCCAGAGACAGATATTAGGGTTCAAGCTGAAGATCAGAAAAGCAAAGCAGCCAACCGCTGGCTTTTACCTCAGACTAAAATAGGTGATCCTGCCTCCACAAATCCTCAGATTGAGACCCAGCTGAGACCTGTTTTATATTTCTCTCTGTTGCTGGGATTAAAGGCATGCACCACCACCACTGGGCCTCTAAGGTTAACTAGAGCAACTGCTGGGATTAAAAGTGTGCACCACCACTGCCTGACCCATATGACTGACTAGAGTGGCTGTTTTGCATCCTGATCATCAGGCAAGCTTTATTTATTAAAGCACAAATACTATACCACTACAGTGACCTGTACTGGCTGTGCTGTGACCACATAGAAGTAATCTAAGGGTTATGATCTGAGGTCACAAGAGTGTAGTGTATTCGCTAGTGACCCTATCAGAAACCAATAGTGCCCACTTGTGCATGAAGATTCATGATTGTCTCTTGCGGCAATTGCATTCAGTCTAACCTCTGAAGTCATCAGTTTCCATCATAGTTTCAGGAGGGTTCAAATCTCCAAAATCCACTTTTTCTTACACTTGACAAAGTCCATTAACTGTGATTACCTTGTGTGAAATTAACACAATAACAGCACATTGCAGACTTCCAACAGACAAATGAACAGAGTTTAAATTTCCATTCCTGTGACGCGCTTCCTGACCAGCAGGAATGGACGATCACAAAATCAAGAATCCTTCTCAATCACAATTTATTAGAGCTACTTGATTGAAAGGGGGAATGGGGAACAGGGATGACGAGAGAGCGAAAAATCCAAAGACAGCCGCTTTTCTAGGGTGAGAGGCTCGAATGCTGATTGGTTGATGCCATTCTGCTAGTGCCCAAAGCCACAGGACAGGTCAGGAAACCAAGTCTCTGATATGCAAACAAGGCTCCAAGCAAACTGGCCTGGACGGCAGCATCAAAGGATTTGTATACCTCCAGGCTGTAGGCACTAACTCACCAAGGTGACATCCTGGCGGCTCCCTACACGGTCCAAAATGGAATTATGGGGACATAGCAAAGAATGAAAGGTCCAAAGCAAGACAATAATCAATCAGGTAAAGCACCACTCCCAAACCCCATGGCTGACACTGATAATTGAGTCCCTCAGCTACAGCTCCTGCAGGACCTGTAGCCTCTCTTGAGCTAGCTCTTGATATGTTCTGCTTTCTTTAGTGGATATCCTGTGGTTCTAGCCTCAGCACGTCCTGTAAACTCCACTGCAAGTTAGATTTCACCTTCACAGTTTCACGAGGCCCCATCCAGAACTGTTTGCAGAGTCTCTGACCTGAGAGCAAGTGTCTCACCTCAGTGTCTCTCAGAATCCATGACTCACCAAATTTTGGGATTCTCACAAGGTACACCACCTGATTTTCAGGTTTACCCTGGGGTAAAACTGGGCACTTTGGGATCTTCAATACATCACTTCTGTGCACTGATACTGGGGACACATTTCCCTGGGGAGTAGTTTCCCAGAGGCTGGAACAGTCAACCCACCCTGACTCTCCATTGTTACAGGCATGCTCGTGAGTCTGGAAGGGAGCCACTCTCACTTCCATGATCTTAAGTCTCAGCCATGAAGCTCACAAACACACGTGGATAGTTACAAGAAAGCAGAGCATTTGCTACATGAGAAGTAACCAAGCATTTGTAGGAGTGTTAGAAGGCAGACTTGCTAGGGGTGTCCAATTATGACGTCTCTCTTGCTACCTTTCCTATATTAATATCTGGAATTCCCACTACCACCAGGCTCCTGTTCCATATTCTCCTGCCTCATTACCAGCTAAGGACAAACATGTGAGACCGTGGGATGTAGTGTATGTTCAGACCACAGCTGCTCTACTCTTACAGTTCATCTCCGTGAATGAATGTTGTCAACAGGATTGCCCTCCTGTATATAAAACAAATATTCCTTATATACTATATATGCATAATATATAGCTGAGTTATATGTGTGGCTGTTTGTGCTGAATTCCCAAAGTTGTACACAGGTCAGCCAGCCCCACTTTTCTCATGGTGCCAATTACATGCAAGAAAATCACGAGACCAATACATTTACCAAAAAGGAAATCAGACCCGGCACCTTTTCATGCAATACTATGCGCAGTAAGGCTGAACTCCAGCTACTGCCCAACCCTCTGTTCTACTGCAGGGTATTTAATAACCTATGCTTACTTTTCTGCCCTAAGCAATGAACGTATTTGACATCAGCAAATCCCTTTCTTGGTCTCTTAAACTTACAATGTCTTCTTCTATTTTCATGCCCCCCTTCTCATTTAATTGCTTACTTATGCTACCCTGCCACACACACTTAGACCCAAGTTCAACACATCTTAATACCTGTGTTGTTTGTCTTTAACACCCTGGTTTCATTTGCTGAACACAATCATATCCATTTCCATGTGTTAACTACAAATGTTATAATGTCATTTTCTTCATGTATAAAAGAAAGTATACTGAATAAGCACATTGTGCTTCTTTTATTCATCCATCACTTTGTGGATGACCGGACTGGTCACATGCACGTCTTAGCTGTTGAGAGTGGCGCAGCAGTGAACACAAGAGTGTGAATGACTCAGGTATGTTGGTTTAGCATCTCATGACATACTGTCTTTCAGCTATAATTTCGTTTCTTGAGAAACCTGCACATTGAATTCCCAGTGTCTGCAGCGGTCCACATCCCCGTTGGCCGTGGACACTGACTGTTTCCCCGGACTAGCACTTGTCATGACCTTTGATCCCCTGGCACTCTGACTCTGGAGGAGAGAGTCTGTGAGCAGTTTGAATCTGCATTTCCCTTCTTGCTAAGGACATTAAACTTTAACTTTTTTAGCTATGGACAAACCTCCTTAGATAACTTGGCAGTTCATTCACTATTTTTAAAACTATATTTTCTTCAATTTTTGAGATTATAATGTAATTATACCATTTCCTTCCTCCAAGTATTCTTATATATTTCCTCCTTCCTCTATTTTTCAGTCTTCCTCTATTTTTCAGTCATGGTTCATTTTTTTCACTGCTTACTACTACATCTATGTGGTGTGTGTGTGTGTGTGTGTGTGTGTGTGTGTGTGTGTGTATATGTGTGTGTTGTATTTGTGTGTGTGCTTCGTAGAGTTATACCAAGATATTTTATATTATTTTTGGCTATTGTGAAGGCTGTTGTTTCCCTGATTTCTTTCAGCCCATTTTTCTTTGAATACAGAAAGGTTATTTATTATTTTTTTTCATTGAATTAATCTTGTACACAGTTCCCTGAAGGTATTTATCAGCTGTAGGAGTTCTTGGTAGAATTTTATAAGTCACTTATGTATACTATCATATCAACTGATATGATACATTATATCAAATATAGGCTATATGATACATGGTGTTGTCATAATCATATATGATACTATATATGATATATGACATTATCATATGAAATAGTATGATATTAATGATATATTGACTTCTTTTTGTTTTTGTTTTTTGTTTTTTTGTTTTTTCAAGTTGAAAGAAGTAAGTTTAGTACAGTAACTTACAATGTTACCTGAGACTCAAGGTCAGATGCATCAGAGAAAGTCCTGTCTTACTCTTTTTTTTTCTATTTATTTTTTTATTAAAAATTTCTACCTCCTCCCATTTCCCTTCCCCTCCCTCTTTTCCTGTTTGTATCTCCTTGATTTCCTTTAGTTGTTGCACTGCTCTAGCTGAAACTTGAAGTACTATATTTAATAGACATGGAGAAATTAAACAGCCTTGACTTGTTCCTGACTTTAGTGAAATTGATTTGAGTTTCTCTCCATTAAATTTGATGTTGGCTATAGGCTTGTTGAGTATCACCCTTATTTTGTTCAGTTATGTTCCTTGTATCACTGATATAAAACTTTTATGATGAAGGGGTGTTCGATTTGGTCAAAGGCTTTTTTAGCATCTAATGAGATGATCATGTGGTGTTTTTCTCTTTCAGTTTGTTTATATGGTGGATTACATTGACAGATTTTCATATTTTGAACCATCCCTGCATCTTTGGGATTAAGTCAACATGATTATGATGGATGAAATTTTGATGTGTCTTGAATTCAGTTTGTGAGAATTTTATTGAATATTTTTGCATCTATGTTAATGAGGGAAATCAGCCTATAATTCTCTTTTCTTTTTTGAGTCTTTGTGTGGTTTGGGTATCAGGGTGACCTCAGAAAATGAAGTTAATAATGTTTCTTCTGTTTCTGTTTTGTGCAATAATTTGAGACGTATCGATATTAGGTCTGTTTTGAAAGTCTGGTAGAATTCTGCACTAAAATTGTCTCACCCTGTTTTATTATTATTATCATTATCATTATCATTATTATTATTATTATTATTATTATTATTACTAGGTTTAGGAGGTCCTTATGTCTATGTATTGCTTTCATTGGTTAATGAATAAAGAAACTGCCTTGGCCTAATCAATAGGACAGAACTTAGGTAGGTGGAGAAAATTAAACAGAATGCTGGGAGGAAGAAGGCAGAGTCAGAGAAATATGCCATGGATCCGTCAGAGTGATACTTGTTGAATCTTTGCCAGTAAGCCACTGCCACATGGCGATATACAAATTAATAGAAATGGGTTAAATTAAGATGTGAGAGTTAGCCAATAAGACACTAGAGCTAATGGGTCAAGCAGAGATTTAATTAATACAGTTTCTGTGTGGTTATTTGGGGTATAAGCTAGCTGGGCAGCGGGGACTAACAAGTGGGCCCTCCCTCAGAAACAATTGGGAGACTTTTTTCCTTTTTTATTTAAAAACTTATTTTTTATTTTACAAACTAACTCCAGCTTTCTTTCCTCCTCTTCTCTCATCCCTTCCTCCCCCACTTCCCAGCCCCCATCCACTCCTCATGGGGGTAAGGCCTTCCTTGGGGAGTCAACAATGTCTGGCACAGTCAAGTTTAGGCTGAAGCAAGCCCCTCCCCCCTGTGTCGAGGCTGAGCAAGGTATCCCACTTTAGGGAGTGCATAGTATGAGTAATAAAAACCCAGAGACAGATAGACACTGGTGAATTAACAGAACATTTGAAAACTTTAGAACAAAAAGAAGCAAACTCACCTAAGAGAACTAGACGGCAGGAAATAAACAAATTGAGAGCTGAAACCAACAAAATAGAAACAAAGAAAACAATACAAAGAATCAATGAGACAAAGAGTTGGTTCTTTGAAAAAAATCAACAAAATAGACAAACCTTTATCCAAACTAACCAAAAGGCAGAGAGAGAATATCCAAATTAACAAAATCAGAAATAAAAAGAGGGACATAACAACAGACATGGAGGAAATTCAGAGAATCATCAGTCATATTTCAAAAACCTGTAGTCCACAAAATTGGAAAACTTAAAGGAAATGGACAACTTTCTGGATAAATATCACTTACCAAAATTAAATCAAGACCAGATAAGCAAACTAAACAGATCTATAACTGCTGAAGAAACAGAAACAGTCATCAAATACCTCTCAACCAAAAAAAGCCCAGGACCATATGGTTTTTAGCTCAGAATTCTACAAGATTTTCAAAAAACTAATACCAATACTCTTCAAATTATTCCACACAATAGAATGTAACATGAGGGGCCGGCTTGTTGGGGTTTCTGTCTGGTCCAGTACCCCAACAAGCCAGCAAATCCCAAGGAAAAATCACACACAGGACTCCATAAGGTTATTAACTGATTGGCTCATTAGGTCAGGCTTCTTGTTAATTCTTGTAACTTATATTAATCCATTATCATTATCTATGTTAGCCATAATGGCTCTGTACCTTTCTCAGCTGGGCAAGTTACATGCTGCCTCTTCAGTGGTCTGCGCAGGAGTGACTGAGGGAGCTTTCTCCTCCCTAGCCTTATCCTATTCTCATTGCCCCGCCTCTACTTCCTGTCTGGTTGACCCGCCTATACTTCCTGCCTGGCCAATCAGCGTTTTATTAAAATACATGATTGACAGAATACAGATAATTATCCCGCACCAATAGAAACAGAAGGAACATTGCCAAACTCTTTTTATGACGTTACAATTACCCTGATACCAAAACCACAGAAAGATATTACTAAGAAAGAGAATTGTTGTACCCAAGTCGAGACCCCCAGAGAGACTACCACCCGGATCCAGTCAAGTTCAGAATGCAAAAGCAAGGTTTATTCAGTGCGCTCTCCAGCCTGGCTGGGGGCTCGACCACTACTCAATGCAGCACAGTAGGGAAGAGATCCTTCATCATTTGGGGTTGACATTATATGGCAAAAACCACAAACCAGGTTTACTGGGGGTCAAGGGGTTTAGTTTTGCTAAGTACAGGGTATGAACTCCTTCTGCTTCTGTGCATGCCCCTTGCCCTCTCCCTGAGCAGTTATTAGCAGTTATTTTCTGCTTCTGTCTAGACCACAAAGCTGGGTGTTGACAGGGGTCTAGCTGTTAGGGACAGTTGGTTTTTTCTCTGCTGACTCCTATGATGTTGCAAAGGGCATGTGTCTTAACCAGATCCTAATCAAGTAAAGCTTCTTTAAGTTTTCCAAGTCTTTACAGAATTACAGATCAATCTCACTCATGAACATTGATGCAAAAATACTAAATAAAATACTGTTAAATCGAATCCAAGAACACACCAGAACCATCATCCACCATGATGAAGTCGGCTTCATCTCACAGATGCAGCGATGGTTCAACATATGAAAATCTGCCAACATAATCCACCATATAAACAAACTGAAAAATAAAAATCACATGATCATCTCATTAGATGCTGAAAAGCTTTTGACAAAATACAACATCCCTTCATGATAAAGGTCTTGGAGAGAGCAGGGATACAAGGAAAATACCTAAACATAATAAAGATAATATACAGCAAGCCAACAGCCAACATCAAACTAAATGGAAAGAAACTCCCAGTGATTCCACTGAAATCAGGAACAAGACAAGGTTGCCCACTCTCTCCATATCTATTCAATATAGTCCTTGAGGTCCTAGCTAGAGCAATAAGACACCAAAAGGAGATCAAGGGGATAGAAATCATAAAAGAAAAAACCAAGCTCTTACTGTTTGCTGATGATATGATAGTTTACATAAATGATCCCAAATATTCTACCAAGGAGCTTCTACAACTCATAAACACTTTCAGTAATATAACAGGATACAAGATTAACTCATAAAAAAATTAGTAGCCCTCCTGTACACAGATAATAAAACGACTGGGAAAGAAATCAGAGAAACAGCCTTCACAATAGCCACAAATTGCATAAAATATCTCAGAGTAACTCTAACCAAATAAATGGAAGACTGGTATGACAAGAACTTTAAATCTTTGAAGAAGACACCAGAAAGTGGAAAGATCTCCCATGCTCTTGGGTAGGCAGAATTAACATAGTAAAAATGGCAATCTCACCAAAAGCAATCCACAGATTCAATGCAATGCCCATCAAAATCTCAGCAAAATTCTTCAAAGACCTCGAAAAAAACAGTACTCAACTTCCTATGGAAAAGCAAAAAACCCAGGACAGCCAAAACAATCCTGTACAATAAAAGAACTTATGGAGGCATCACAATCTCTGACTTCACACTCTTCTACAGAGCTACAGCAATGAAAACAGCCTGATATTGGCATAAGAACAGACAAGAGGACCAATGCAACTGAATAGAAGACTCAGATATTAATCCACACTCCTTCAAACACCTGATTTTTGACAAAGAATTAAAAAAAATCAAATGGAAAAAAAAGAAAGCATATTTAACAAATGGTGATGGCATAACTG